TCTTCCTTTTTACTACTCAGGCTTAGTTCGAAAAAGACAAGTTGCAGATTGTGACCATCTGACCGATTCCAGGGCGCGGGAACGATGTTCGGGTTGGAGGGAGGATGTTAAACTCCAAAATACCAAGGTAGGCCCCTAGAATTGGAAAGAAGGCCTCTACAAACCGAAACGAGCCCTCAAAGTCATAGATGGGTCCTTTACAAGTTAGAATGAACGCACTGCAAGTTAGAATGGGACCTCTATGACTGAGAATAGGCCCTTGCTGTGATAGAACGGACTCTAAACAGGTCAGAGCGGGACCACTGCGGGCCTGAATGAGCCTCTCTACAGCAAGTCAGCGTGGTCCCTCCATAGCCGACAATATGCCCTCTAGATGTCAGCATGGGTCTTCTACATGCACAGAATATACTCCTACATGCCAGAATGTGTCCTCTAGATGTCAGAATGGGTCCCGTACCGGCCAGAATAGATCCTCTTCAGACCAGAACGATGAGAACTGGATTCAATAATGAGCTCTCTGCGAGCCGAAATGGCGCCTGTACAGGTTAAAATGAGCCCTCTACAGGCTCGTAAGCAGGGGCGGATTCAGGACTTCGTCAAGAGGGGGAGCACGCAACATTGTGGGGCGCCCTGGAGTTTGGGGCACCCTCCAAAAAATATCCTTGCATTTTGGTTATTACATTTTAAGACATGTTGTATGTAACACACACACACACACGCACACACACACACACACACACACACACACACACACACACACACACACACACACACACACACACACACACACACACATATATATATATATATATATATATATATATATATATATATATATATATATATATATGTAGGTACGTGTATATGCATATATGTTTGTACTCATTCGTCTATTTCATAAATACGGAAACCCATCTTGCTGTGCACGGCCTTATAAAGCTAGACGTGCTACGCATGCATACACTCCTTTTCTACAGGTCATGTTAAATGCTGTGATTTTGAGGCTAGGTATTTCGGAGCAACAGGCAAAATAAACTTGAGTTAGCTGCTATCAACCATCAAAACCAAGCATGGACTTGATTCCTGGCTTATGCCTTTACGGCTAGCCGGCTGGGCGATGTAATCAGTGGATGGCTGATCACTAGTGCATAACTTTTCCTACGTTTTAAAGGAGTACAACATGTCCCAACATTCGAAATATGTTAAGAACGTGATGCACTAATATAATACGTGCCAAGACTCTCAACAGCTAATGAATATAGCACATACGACGTCGGCGGCATGTAGAATTACGTTCGACAATTACGCGTAAGAATTCATCGGCACATAGTCGGCCGCTGTTCTGGGGCGAAGGCACCAATGCCAATAGGGACGAAACCTGAGCGATCATGGGTACTGCAGGAGACCAATAAAGCGGCTCCCGTCAACAAGCATAGGGTCTGCAGAGCCCCATGTAGAGAGCCCCCCGAATGAACGAGTGTGTCCGAGCAGGTTAACAGATAAGGTTCCCAAAAAGGGCGTAGAGTCATCCGTTCAAATAGGAAGTAATTAAGACCCAATGCGGAGGACCCCCGAATGATCCAGTCCGTCAGAGCAGGTCAGCATATAGGCCCCCCATAGTCAAGAGCGTGGGGTCCTCCATTCAAATGGGAAGTACCCAAAACCCAATGAAGAGCGCCCCCGAATAACAGTGTGCCCGAGCACGTTGACAAATAGGACTCCCAACAAGAGCACAGGGCCCTCCATTCGAATGGGAAGCACCGAAGACCTTATGTGAACTGCCCCAGAATGACAGGGTGTGTCCGGGCAGCACACCAGAAGGGGCCCGAGAAGAGCGCAGGAGCCTCCATTTAAATCAGAAGCACCCAAAACCCAGTGCGGAGGGTCGCCGAAAAATGGAGTATACACCAGCAGCTTATCAGGTGGCCCAGACAGGAGTGTAGGGTCCTACAATACACCAACACCTGATATGCAGGGCCCCCGGACAATTCAGTGTGGCCGAAGCGGCGAACAGATGGGATCCCCGACAAGTACGTAGGGCCCTCCATTCAGATAGGAAGTGCCCAAGCACTATGTGGAGAGCCCCCAGATATTCGAGTGTACCCGAACAGGTTAACAAGTGGGTCCCCGGTAAGAGCGTACGTTCCTATACGTTCATCTTATAACAGAAGGGGCCCCGACATGAGCGTAATGCCCTCCATTTAAATAAGAAGTACCTAAAACCCGGCGCGGAGGGCCCCAAAAGATGGAGTGTACCCGAACAGATTATCAGATGACCCCGATAGAAGCAGAGGGCCCTAAATTCAAACACTAAGAACCAATTTGCAGGCCCCCCGAGCAATCCAGTGTCGCCGAGGAGGCGAACAGAGGAGCCCCCAGACAAGTATGCAGGGCCTCATTCAAATAACACGTGCCCAAGGCCCAATGAAGAGGGCCCCCGAACGATTGAATGTGCCCGAGCAGGTTATCAGATAGCCTCCCCCCAAAAAAAGCGTAGCCCCCCCCCCCCACTAAGTAAAGAAGCATAGCTGCACAGTCTTGTGCACCGGCCGGCACGTAGTGAAGTGCGACCGCCTGATGTACGCTGCTGCCGATACAGCCCAGGGCCCTCCGAGCAAATGCAAAGAAATAAAGGCAACGTGGAATGCTCCTTAACTACCGAAATGATCCTGCAAGTGTATGTGTAGGGCTCCCAGAAACAGCATGGGGCCCCTATACAGTGTAATGAGGCTTAAATTTCCAGTTTACAACTTTTCCAATCATTCAGTAATTGTTTTTTACCTCTCAAAACGCCCTTCACTTTCGCTTACAACTGTTCTTGGTCGTCTGGAATTCTAGAAATATATAGTTCTGTTGCGTTTTGTGTTAAAAAAAACTGTACCTGTTCGGCCGGCGATGGGCCCCCTCGGAGCCAATGGGCTCCTTCGGGGCCCGGGGGGTGGCATGGCCCCGGGCCGCCCCCCCCCCCCCCTTAGATCCGCCCTTGCTCGTAAGTGCCCTCGTTTGGTCAGAATGGATTCTAAATAGCTCAGAATGAGTCCTCGACAAGTCAGAGAGGGATTTTTAAGGCTTGCATTATTTTTTTTTACACTTCAGAATCGGCCCTTAACACACCAAAATTGGACCGGCCGTCCAAGCTTGGAGTCGTCCCGTAGCTTTTAAGTTTAGGGGCGAGCTGTGCCCATTGCCAATCCCCTTGTTCCCACAACCTTGAACGGGTGTGACCAAGGCCAATGTGACTAAAAAATTAAGGCCCCTAGCACCCTAGCAGAGATGTTCGTCCTCAAAAATCGCTTACCCTATCGATTTGGAGCATTGATTAATGAATTCAGCGCGATGAAACAAGTATGAAGGTGACAGATGAATGACCTAACCCGGTTTGAAAGCTTAAAGGCCGTAAAAAAACGAAAAAGAAAAGCCTTCACGTGCAAAGGTGGGTCTCAGAACCTAGAGAGCCGCAGAGCCTTCACCATTCCATGCACCAACTAGCTTTTCACTTGTAGTTCCGCCTTTGGTGACCCTATCAGAGTTGTCATTTAACATGCTCTCGTGGGCCCAAGCCCGATCCCGTAACCATAATGCTGATAGCACGCAACGCCAGCCTTCAAGTCAAAGCCTACCTCAAGCCCGAAGGAATGGAAGTTAGAACGAAGTCAGCAGAAAGGAAGTCAAGGGCAAAATCAAATCGATCAAAACGTCAACATGCGTGGAAGTAAAAGGTACGCTTGGTTCCTGTCGTAATTGAGGTAGATTATCCTTCCCTCTGCTGACCGCGCACGCCGGCTCCGGTGTGACGTCCCGTTACGTCCCGCGCCACTGACCACTGCCGCTAGCCTACCGTGCGGCGCCATGTGGTGCCTGCTGCGTGATCGCTATATGGCGTTTTGTAGTGTGCGTGAATGTGTATGTGTATACATAGTTTGCGTGATGTAGCAAAGCATCATGCTACCGTCTTGGTGTTGATAAACTAGTTCTGTTAAGTTGGAACAAATGGAAAAACTAGCTCGTGGTTATTTCGACGAACCCGAATGCCGAATAAATATCGCTTAAAAAATTCTCTCAAAAGAAAGACCTCTGTTTCGTGTCGCAATGCAAGCTTTATGTGCATTGTTACTTTGTTGATGTGCTATAAACTTATAAGAACACAATACTGCAAAGTTAGTTATATCTATCGAGTGTTAAAGGGAATGTTCGACATTTGTATAGAGTGTTCAACCAAAATGGCCATCTGGAAGATCCCTTCCACAGCTGTGGATTCCACAGCCCTGACCCTCTTAAGACCTACACTCATGTAGGTTCTGAGCTATACGCCAACGAACATGTGCAGACTATGTCATGCAGACTATATCAAGGCCATCTTGACATTCACTACGTCGTAATAACGTTATTCGAATTCTGCCGTTCCATTGGCCATCCAGCGATCAAGGCCAATGAAGGTATAATTGTGAAGTTGTTCATATCTGCTGTTTGTGAGCACGATTTCCAAATATAACGACCGTTAACTGGCTGTCAGTCAATGTTGTACAGGGTGCGATAACGTATCAAACAACGACGTATTGAGTAGCATATTCACTTAATAGAGAAAATATGTTGTTTAGTCATGAGTGACCTCATTTCATCACACCTGAAATCACACCATCACACCATTACGCCTGAAGGGCGCGTCAACTTCGTTGGCTATTTGCTCCCAGCACGGAATAATCACCCCGCTCGCCGCGTAATGCGAAAGCTAAGATTTGAGGGCCGAACATGGGACTTGACTAAACCTATTCTAAAAATACGGGCAAAACAAATGTCTCCCAAATGTCTCCCAAATGCCACGAACAGCTGACGTGCATCGGCGCAGGTTGATTGGGTCTCATTTGCCCTGTGTATCAATATCTGCTACGTTTGATAGCTAGTCGGTCATTTTGTGGAAAAATCTGTTTCGATCTTTTAGATAAAGTCCTCGTATATCCATCAGGAGATGTTACCACGAAAACAGCAGTCGACTGTTACGTAAATCTGTTAAGAATATGCTGCTTAGCAGACTGGTCTGAACTGACCCAAAGTGCCGTAAAAAAAATATTCTGTACACCAGCCTCTGCGTCAGTACGGAATCAAGCTTTACTAGAAATAAGCTTCATGAATACATATACCTTCTGACCCACGCTACGGCTAGAGTGCAAAATAGAAAAACATCGGATATTTTACGTGATATGCTTTAAAAATGCTTGAGTTCAGGCCTTCAGTCACATATCGACCATGTCTGGACTACATCCGTAACAATACCAGAGATGTATTTTCCAAATCAGATTGGGTGTGACGTGGAAGCTCCAGCCTCTCAATCATGATGAAAAGGCAGCCCAAAAACTGTGAGAAAGACGCTTCTTGCGCATTTTTGGGTCCCTGTAGCTACTTCCCTTCACCCGCGAGACATTTTGCAAAACTATGCCCACGGACGATGTGGCCAGATTGTCAAAGAGCAGTGAGTAACATTGCCATCTTGAAAAACGCGATTCTTTAAAGCGTGCCTCAAAATCCCGTTCCTAGAGTGAATTCTGGGTTAGTTTATTTTGGAAAAGGTAACCAATTTTCAGAAATCTAGCTGCAGCGATGTGGAAGGCGGCTGCAGGAAAACAGCCCTGGGTGGAGGACTGATATGACTAACATATGCTGACACGGTCGAGGTTTTTTCATGGACGTCCAAAAGAGAGAAATGGTAACTTTAAAAAACTCGAGGCATGCACCAACACGGCATGTGTTCCCCAGTGGCGAGGCCAATGCTCTCTAAGCTTGAGTTAATCCAAATTGATCACAACGAATCCGATGCACGCATTCATCGTCGCCATCTCATTTATCGCAGGTCTGATGTTTAGTTCTGTGTAGGACAGGCCAAAAAAAAAAACAATCTCATGCTGTCCGTCACTCCCCTGATATTGGTCGCCTGCCACCGCCCCTGGCTTGGGCTGGGCCGCGACACCGGGTCAGGTCAGAGGTCAGTCGGCCGGACCGCGGCCGGGCGATGGCCGGCGCGGCGCGAGTGCTAGCGGCGCTGCTGACGCTGGCCGGGGCTGCAGCGCAGTACAGCCGGCCGACGCTCGAGCTGTTCGGTCCGCCGCCCCAGGCCCGCTGCCGCTGCGTCCACGCGCGCTTCTGCCCGGCCCTGTCCATCACGGTAGGACTGTGCTGCCGCGGTCGGTACGTGCTAGAGTGTCCTCGGAGGATCCATGAGGTGTAGTAGTGGAAAGGAGGAGAGAGACGTGTAGTCGATTATACGGTGTGTATAAACAACTACGACTAAGTTTGTGCTGGTCATTCGAAAATCCCAAGCAAGGATAACCCATGCGCTATTGTAAGACCAAAACACATTTATTTAAACAAATCATCCTTAGACCTCTTTTCTCATAGATGGACTGGGTTTGAGCGCACCTTCATATTTAAAATGAAATGAAGCGCATGTGGCAAACACGGCCGCATAACCAGTAAAGTTTTTGTCCCCGTGCACGTTTAAATTTGTCAGGTATGTGCTTGGTTGATTGTTTTCTATCTTCGTGGCAACCTTCTTTGTTCCCCTGTGGTGGCCGCTGCTGCCAGGCTGTGAAACCGCTCCGCACGGGGCCGTGCCTAACCCACGCGGCGGCGCCAGGCGTCGGCGGGCGGCTGCGCCAGGCCGGGCCAGGTATGCTGCGCGACGCGGGAGGTCGGCGCGGCCGGCACCGGGCTCCCGGAGTGTGGCCGACCGGCGTGGCCTGGCGCTGGGCCGCGCTGGACGGCGGCCGTGGCGCGTCGCGATCCGGACGGCTTGCTGTACCGCTGCGCCGGCGCACTCGTCACCAGCGCCCACGTCATCAGCGTGGCACACTGCGTCGAAGGGTGAGCTGCGCCTGGTGAGGCCGCGGCGGCCGCACCGACACGAGCTGGGCGGACGTCCCCGCTGCCCGTGACCGTTGATGTCACCGCCGCCCGTGGCTACTGGCGTCACCGCCGCCCGTGGCTACTGGCGTCACCGCCGCCCGTGACCACTGACCTCACCGCCGCCCGAGACCACTGACCTCACCTCCGCCCATGACTGCGTACGTCACCGCTGCCCGTGGCTGCTGGTATCACCGCCGCCCGTGACCACTGACCTCACCGCTGCCCGTGACCGCTGACGTCGCCGCTGTCCATGACCGCTGACGTCGCCGCTGTGCGTGAACGCTGACGTCACTACTGCCCGTGACCACTGACGTCAACACTGCCAGTGACCGCTGACGTCAACGTTGTCCGTGACAGCTGACGTCACTGCCGTCCGTGACATCTCGTGCGTGCAGACGACCAATATTCGGCCTCATCATGTTGTGGCGGTCTCATGCACAGAATGATGGTGATTTGCCAGCAGACTGCATTCATGTGCGCCGTCGATGCACGCCAGCTGTAGATCTGAACAGGGCACTGATGGATTCCCTTCAGCATTCCGGTCGATGAGCTCCTGGTCGACCTCGACGTCTATGACCTGTTGGAGGACTATGGCCAGGATTTCGTCTCGAAAGTTTCGGCGGTCGTGATGCATCCATGTAAGTATCATTGCTCCCCGACGCTGGGGACGCGAGCTTCGAGCGCCGTGCTCAACGCCCGCGGGCGCGACATAAGCCCATGCAGCGATCAACAATTCTCATCAGGACTGCTTTACCCCATGAGCAGCTATGCTCCCACAGACATGCAGTTGTATTCCTAAACGAGCAGCAAGTTTTTGTATTTTGAATGCTAGAAATACTTAATGCATCATACGACGAGATTCCGGGGCCTTTGCATCACGATCTGACAGCAGCAGTTTAGTCGACACGCGCCCGGGTGACCGGTTGAATGCCCCGCGCTCGGGTGGGGATCAATTTGACCCCCTAATATCTCAAAAAGCACTCAAGCTAGAGCCACCAAATTCATAGGGTCGCTTTTCCTGTGTGCGATTTCACTTGTGTCAAACGTAGATATTACTGGGGCATGACCTTGGTGTCAAGTCAACAGGGTCAAGCTTCAGATTGGTGTCCGCAGAACTCATCATGCAACAGCCTTGCACCTAGTTACCTGTTCTAGAGCAAAGGCTCAACTGGTATTCATTTCAGTCCAGTAACCTTTGTATGACATTTAGAAGCTCGAAGGTGACCAGAAATCTATGAAATTGTTTTGATTTTTGAATTTCAACAAGCTTCAAGGACTACGCAAGGCGGTATTCTCCCCAAAACAACAGGCTGATCTTGAGATGTATGGCTTCTCCTAACGCTCCGGTGTCGCGTCAGGTTAAAAATTATCTCAAATGTACCGTCTCTAACAGCCACGACCTGACTTTGACCTGACATGGGCCAGCGACCTTACAAAGTGCATCCAGCTTGATACCAAAAGATCCGCCATCATATTGCCTACACCTATGCAAGGTTTAGCGCGATTACGTCGCGTCGTTCGTAACCTATTGTTGAAAAGCCTTCCGAGGGATCAAATTGCCCCACCCCACACCCCCACCCGAGCGCGTGTTAATCAATCCGTGATTCAGGTCATTGCCGCAGTGATCTGCCATCGCTGATCTGTTGTTCCATGTCACGAACGCTCTCGCTTTTGCGCTGCCCGCTGCTGAGTGGGACTCGCGCGCTTACATGGGACCGCGCGCGGGCCGGTGGCGGCAGCGTACTTCTCAGGTGACCAGCGCCACGACTTGGCGGTACTGCGCCTGGCTACGCCTGTGGCGGGTTACCATCTGGCCGTGCGGCCCGTCTGCCTGCCGCCGCCAGCCCTGGCCACCGTGAGTCCCCGGCTACCGCCGACCGGGTCACCGGTGTTCGGCTCTGCCGTCAAAAGACCCCACAGGTGGACGGTTCTGCAAAATATACCGAAATGTAGGTCGTTAGAACTAAAGCACACTGGGAATTTTCTCCCCCAAAAGCGGAACATTTGAAGTATTGACTTAAATGAACTTTGCGTACCTTTCCAGAATAAAAACCCTCAAACCCAACCCACGAGTTCTGTTCCAGGAAAACGGAGACGTTTGCTGGGCTTCGGGATGGGGAAGAGACGTCGTCCAATATGACTCGACGACAGCGCCTCTGGCGGACGTCGTGGTACACTTCACTTCGACCGGCGTCTGCCAGCTGACTCTGGCATCGAAGGAGCCGCTTACTTACCTGTGGTCGGGGCTTTGCCTGCAGGCAGTTGACGTCGATGGTGACCTCTGCAAGGTAGTACATTATTTAGTATTTCGTGGGTTCATTTTCTAAATAGTGGACAGATTGATCATCAATGTACCGCTTTTGAATAGACGCATGATTGTAGCACTTCTTGTCTTGTCAGTGTCAGAATTGAATTGGACATGGGGGCCGATCGAAATGCAATTAATAACCACCAAAGGAGAAATGCAGCTTGTCATCCGAGTAAATACTATCCCTACTGCGCCGTGTTGAACTGAGTCGCGTGGGTCCAGGCTGATGATGAGTAGTATCAGATGTGACAACGTGACAGTGGGTCTGCTGCGACACATCGAGGGCTCCACCAATCAGCATAGGTCAAAAGTTCGTGGGCTGGCATGCACACGGCACCGAGCAAGGACCCTGCCAAAGGGGACACGTGGGATGAGTCCTTATTCTTGATTTACCATGACGTACGTTCAATGAAGAAGCGAAAACCTTGCTATAGTGTTCAGCCATTGGCATAGCACGCCATTCTGGAGTTTCAAGATGGCATTGCTTCACACAGGGCGTCACAGCTTCAGAACTTTGGAGAACCAGCCCTTCCCCCAAGGCGCATCCTAAGCATCCAGTCTCCTCTTCAGTCTTGCTGCGGCGCCTTGTTTCAGCTGGACCCAGCCTCACTTTGGATAGTCCCAGGGCAACACCGACTGTCGGGTGTCACTGTTAGTCCAGACTTCACTACCTCCTCCATCATGTGCGGTCACCATGTGCGTAGGGACAAACAGTGTGCGACCCTGTGTGACGGTGTGACCGTGACGGTGACAAACGCCCCCTCTCCAGCTCGACCCGGGCTCGCCGGTGGTCTGCGCTTCTGGTGGCCGGGGCGCCACGTTGGCCGGCGTGGTCTCGTGGGCGCACCGCTGCGCCGGTCGTCACCACGCACCTCTGATCGTCGCCACGGCCATCGCCTCACATCTGGACTGGATCGGTGCCGCGCTCCAGACGTGACGCTTACGGCGATCGGAGAGTGGATGAGAGGGGGGAGGGGGACGAAGCACACGCGTGGTTTAGAGCCCCGTGCACGTCTGATCGAGGAATTCTTTATAAATGAAAAGTCGATGAAAAATACGTGCAATGTGCCTGTCTACATACACGTCGAGGAGCTTTTGAGTCCGCACTAACTCAACTATTTTCAGCGGTTTCCAGTAGCTCAGTTCAGCTGCACGCCAACGCCCCTCGTGGAGGTTGGTAGCACCGCGGCTTTCATGGCTGCAGCATAGTGTTGCTCTCGAGAACGCTGGTTCGCAAAAGAGAGAGGTTGTTGGTAGCGCCTGTGGTAAGAAACAGGGGAAGAAACAGACCTGTATGATGTAACTGGACTACAATATGCTGCGGTGAAGCTCGTTTACGGCGTATGGCTTCTCGAGCAAGACAAGGTATCGATCAAAGTGGCTATTCCAGAATACATTATACAGCTTCGCTAATGTTTTCTAGGGCGATGGATTCTTTCAGAAATTGTGGAATCGCGACTTCGTCTCATTTTTTACATTAAACGTCATCGGTTATTGTTAAACGTCGACAAGTGGCGCGGAAGCCAGCGGAGCAGGGGCCTGAGAATCCCTCCCCGCCCCTAATTTTCCGGAAATGTAATGTTGGTTCCAGGGATGTCGACTGGAAAGAAAAACCCGACAGGGCTGCTCCAATTTTTAGAAACTTTCTTTTTGGCCCTGCCTTCGCCGTGAGTGAGGGGTGGTGCTAACGTTCTCGATTCTTGGGGGGTATCTCTCGAGCCATACGGCAGCCCATTTTGAATTTGACCCAGCTCAGTTGGTACTCTTTTTCAGTTTTTGAAAAAAGATCCGCAAGTCTCAAGCTCATATTATATCAGGCCCTTGAACCATGACTTCGATTTCAAATGACGAGAATGCAGCGTGCTAGCCTGAACCCCAGTGACATATTCTTGGCAATGTGTGCATCAGACCATGTTTTGCGGCTCTAAGGGCGTAAGTGGTTTAACTATCACTTTTCACCGATGTTTATAACCTTACCTAAAGTTGCTGAAGGTCAGTGGTGCATCACCTGAAATCTAGGTAATCGCGCCAATTCAGCTCTGAATAGAAGGCATCATTTATCTTAATGACTGGACAGTCAGTGGTGACGTGAAGATCATTTATGGTTCAGACAATTCAAGCAGCGTACCTTAATAGATATTTCAGCATAGCATTAGTTAACACCCTTGGGTGCAGATATCAGGGTGCGGTTTTATCCAGCGTCAATGCCATGGAAGGTCATGAAACAGCCTCGAGATGGCCCCACGTGACCATGCGGAGGTAAATGCTTCCGACTCGAATCTGCTTTACTTTACTGACAGGAATTATGCGAAGAAGGAATTCTGCGTAGGAAAGGGATCTTCTCAGTTCTCATAGAGGACCATCCATCGCGCATAATGGGCGTGCAAACTAGTTATCTTGCTGATTTTTGTGAATGCACTAGCTGGTATCTAAAAGAGTATTTTGCTGGCCCTGAAGGAGAACCCGGATGTAAGAGGCCCATTCTGGACTGTAAGGACGAGGAGGTCTCCTGCCGGTTTGGAAATGGGTCTTTCTACCCCGTGAGGGGGTAGTGTTACAAGTGTGCCCTTCCTGACACGGCGCTGCCCTGACAGCAGAAAACCTTGGTGTGCTTCTTTTAACACGTAACATAAAATAAGGTGATTGTGACCCTGACATCAGCGTCAATCTGCCCAAACTAGTTGTGCTATGTTTGTACATATATAGAGCTTATTAATTTTCTCCAAGTCATGGTGAATACCGTGATTTTAAAGCTAAGTATTTTTGGAGGACATGGCAACATAAAATTAAGTTGGCAAGCACGAACTTGATTCCTATCTTATTTAGAACTAGCTCGCTGGCCGATATGATCAGACGATGGCTGATAACTAATGCAGAAATTTTGCTTTGTCCGTTTTGAAGGAGTACAAAATATCCCAGCGTTCAAAATGCGTTAAGAACGTGATGACAATAATGACATGGATCGCAAATTCAATAACCTACGGCAATAACACATACGATGTCCGGCTGCACGTCAAATTATGTTCGGCCACTGTGCGTAAAACTTCAACGGGCGCATATCTGACTACTGCTTTAAGGATAAGGCACCTAGAACAAAAGGGGACAAAACCTGGGGGATCGAGGGTGCCGCGACAGGCCGACAAAAAGGCTCACATCAGTAATTAAAGGTTCTCTCAGAGCAAGTGCGAGGAGCCCAGGACCAGCGTGGCGGACCCCTGAACGGTGGGGAGCGCCCCGGCAGGCTGGCATATAGGATCCCGGCTAGAGCGCAGGGCCCTCTGAGCAAAGGGAATTACCCAAAACCAGTGTGCATTAATAAAGGCCCCTGTGAGAAAAAGAATGTACAGGCAGGTTGACAGAAGGGGTCCCGATAGGAGGGAGAAGTTCGCCGCAGGCGAGATCGAAGGAAAAGACCCCTAGGTCATTGCACAGGGCCCCTGAGCATCGGAAGGCTCGGTACGGTGCCTTACCTTATATGGACCCCAGCAACAGCGCGAGGCCCTCTGAGCGAGTGGAAAAAACCGAGAGTAATGTGAAGGATCCCTGAGCAACTGTGCTTGCCTCGGCATGTGGGGCCCCGGCAATAACGTATGGAGCCTTTCGGATGAATGGGAAGAATCGGTGGTGGGTTCCTGATAGATCAAGAGTGCCCAGAAGTGTTAGCAGGCACTGCCCCAACAGCAGCGTAGGGTTCTATGAAAAACGAGGTCAAGGGCAACGTGAAAGGCTCCTTGGCGATCGGATTGACCCGGCGAGTAGACATACAGGGCCCTCGGCAACAAAGTAGGGCCTCTGAACAGCGTGATTTTCCTCAAAATCATCCCCAATCACCGCCCTCTCAATCAGTGAAGGACTCACTTTGTCTGTTCACGCGATTTCCACTTTCGCTTGCGACTGGCGCGACCGTGGTCGTCTGGAGATCCAAAGACGTTCAACTTTGTTGTGTTTTGTGTCAGGGAACTGTGTCCGTTCGGCCAGCTATCGGCCCCTTCGGAGCCTATGGATCTCCTCGGGGCACGAAGGGGGCATGGTTTCATGCCCCCCCCCCCCCTCTGGATCTGTCCCTGCATACGCATACACGGTCACCGGTCACCATCACGTGACAGCTACGCTCCGTGGTTTTATTCCATTCCAGCCATTGAGTTGCTGGAATGGAATAAAACCAAGAAGCGTTCCGACATTGTAGTGGCATTCATTTGTTTAGTGAATGTCACTTAAATTCACCATTTCTATATTTAATGCGACATTTACTCACATCCATTCGATGAATATCCGTCCAAATGCTGGAGTGCTCTGGACCAAGCCAAACATTATGTCACAAGATAAGACAGTACCAATAGCTTGGTTCCTCGTAGAAAAACCAGGAGAATGAAGAGAGATGCATTCACATTTCGGCTACATGCCTAAAAAGGCGAGCATCAGTTCTAAATTCAGAATTGATGAGCTTTATGTAAGTTATATCTAGGTTTATGTGTTGCTCTATTATTCAGTTTTGAATTTTCTTCTAGTATTCATTAAGATTCACACCGGAAACCGAGGACCGAAGAAGAGCCAACGTTTCCGGTACGGTACATGTACGTTTATTTGCGTAGTGCACCTCATACACGAGTCCGGATAACGTAATCCACGCTTATTAGAAATAAACACATCGTGCCGACAATGTCGGTTGAGCTACAGCATTTCAGTTCAATAAACAGGACTCGTGCATTGCCGTGAGGTGGTCATCATATCGTGCGGACGGACTGTATTAGCACCTTTTAAAGTAGTGCACCTCTTGCATGATTCCAGCTGCCGAGGTCTGAGATCCACTCTGACGTACGAATACATACTCTATCGAGCTAATATGCCAACAGCGATTCTAAGGAAATGAGCCAAGCCCCGGAAACCGAAGACCGAAGCAAAGCCAACGTTTTCGGTGCGGTATATATATGTCTATTGGCACAGTGCACCTCATGCACGAGTCTGGATAATATGATTTACACGTATAATACATCAACACATCGTGCCGACAATGTCGGTTGAGCTACGAAACTTCAGTTCGATTAATATGACTCATACATTGTCGTGAGGGCCTGGCTCATTTCCTTAGTACTGCTGTTGGCATGTTAAATCGGTAGAGTAGTCACATTAATTGAACTGAAGTGTTGCAGATCAACCGAAATTGTCGGCACGATGTGCTTACTTCTTATAAACGTGAACCACTACGAGTATGTACCGTTCCGATACGTGGGCTTTGATTCGGGCTTCGGTTCCCTGGGGCTTGGTCCATTTCTTCAGGATTGCTGGAAGTGTTTCAGCTCAGCCGACATCGTCGGCTCTTTGCATGTGTTGTTCATTTGGAAACATCAATTCAAATTTCAAAACTTGAAATAATATAGGAGGTGCAAGAAGTGCAATAATAAGGTAAGAGGGTACGTGCATTTCTGGTCGGTGTGCGATGAACCTTAAGTTATCAGACATATGATCAAGGTGATCAGAATTATGGTATGCACGAACGTTAAGCGCACCAGCAGAAAATTTAAGGCATGAATATGAAACACAAGTATATTTTTCTCGGGTACTCGCATGCCCGTGATTTGGTGCTCATTTTGCTCTTTTAGTACATCTTATAAATAATCTGCGGTCTGTGTGTTACACATCACATTGCTGGCTTATTACCGACATTATAATATTGTCGGATGACATATTTGTAAAAATGATAACCAATCTATCATGCCAATATTGCCAACAGCAATGGCTACAACCAGGAAATCAAAAATGATAACAGCCTCCTTATGATTTGTTGTGCCAAAAACGTTATTTGGGTTATGGGATTTCAAAGCTGGTGTTTTCTATTCACGCGAGCTGATGTGCTGGCCGGGTGTTGCGCGTGGAACGCTCCCGGCCGATGCTTTTCTTTTAAAGAAGGTATACTACTTGAAGAATACTCCAGTCGATTTAGAAAGCCGATTTGCGGCGCGTGTGCCGGCCACACTTTACTGCCTTCCTGTTAGTTTTATTAAGGGTTGATCAAAATAGATTCACCATCATTGATATCAGTATGTTGCATTGCCCAGTGATTTGTTATGTGGGAAGCGAGGGAATATGTCTGGCGGAGTCCCTGTCAGACATATTTCCTGCCTGTCAGACTTTGTCACAGACAGAATGCCAGGTTTAACAATTCTTAACTCCATTACCTGCCAATAAGTTCAGCACATGCATGCTGTAGATCCAGGAAGCCCATGCTTGATGCATGATAGCCTGCCAAAGTTTGCAATGAGGAGAAGGTTGGTTTGGAATGCAAGTGGAAGGAGGTTTCTTGGTTATGTTCATAGATGCTGAAATTGTTTGTGATTTAACATATTTGAAGGTTGCTGTATCATGCAAATCAAATAGTAAAAGTTTGACAAATGATAATGGTATTGCCTTTGCCTTTTGTATTTTATTTGTAAGATATCAAAAGCTCTGCAGAGTTTCTAGGCTGTGATGCTTGGGAATGAACTGGGGAAATAATTCATACCAATTAATTTAGTCTGAATATTTTGATTGAATGGATTGAATTGAATGAAATGGTCAGAGTTAATTCTGAGCAAGGCTTTTTGTGTGAATCTGTACCCCACTATTTGCACGGGAAAAAATTAAGCTTATTGGTAGAATTTGGGATGAAATCTCAACATGCTCCAGTGCTCTGCATTGTCCACCCAGCCATCTGCCATCATCTGACCCTAGCACCCCTGCTGCTGGCCTCAGTCCATTCCAGCCAGGGGAAGAGAGAGAGTACTGTAGGTAACTTGAGTCCACACACTACCATGGGTATGCTGTATTGCTGAGGCAAGTGCAAATGAGCTATGGGCAGAAAATATAAGAGATTAAGCTACAGAGCAATAATTATTCTGGGTAGATGGGCACTTTTATGATCAATGATGAGAGCCTGTTCATCTTGGGAGGAATAGGCAGGATGTTCAGTATAGACACCTACAGAAGTATTTGATATCCTGAATGGCATGTGTTGTGAATTTTGAGTCTTCAAGCATATACATACATAAGCATAGCATAGCATACATAAGCATCAAGCATAAGCATACATAAGCATCAAGCATATACATAAGCATATACATACATAACATTAAGCTACTAATTTCATGGTGTACATGCAATGATTAATGACACCAATTCTGTGGTGCTCAGAATGACACCTATTCTGTGGTGTACCTAGTGACAGTCTTGTCATTTGCAGTGCTGATCCTAACCAATGGTACATATTGTATTTGATACACAACCCTGCCATTGAAACTTACATTTGTATTAGCAAACAGCTCTGATGGTTAATAACGCATTTCAGGCCTCCAAGAGCTAGAAACATGAGCCTTTTGGGTCTGCTGGCATCAGCTTGCCGTCCCTTCGTAGCGCTGAGAAGGTAAGCCATTAGCTCATGTTCCATGCTCACTGTGTATTATGCCATCTTCATTGTGGTTAGGTTTGTGTAAGACTGAACAGACATGTTATTATGCATTAATGACTGCAGGTATAACAAAACTTCAGGTTGATGGCTTACCAATTGCATGATGGCCTCACATTTGGTAGGTCTAAGCACAAATCCTTGACAGGGTAAAAAATGTTTGGTGATGTCATCTCCCAGATGTGGGTGCAGCCATTTTATTGGTTGAGTTTAGGTGCATATTCATGAAAATATGAAAATATGTTCAATGATCTGTAATTTAACCCTCAGCATTTCACGGACGTCATGGCACATGACTGGCAACAGCACTGGATACAAGCCATGTTTCTGTGGCCAACATGTTGCCCATGTCTCTTGTGTTTCCACCAGGTTTCCATAAATGTGATGCAAGTGGCATTGTGATGAAATGGAAGTTCTCTCAGTCATAAAGTGTGTGCTGTTGCAGTTTCTCGTCCCTGACGTGCCGCGTGCCGGCGCCGCTGCCGTGCGGCCCGGCGGCGCCCGTCCCCTCGGCGCGGACGGCGCCGTCTCTGCTGGACGCCTGCGCGCGCGTCTGGCCCTCGGTGACGCAGGTGCGCACGGGCATGCGCGTGCACTTCCCGCGGCCACGTGAGATCAAGCGG